GGAAAATGGCCCGGAACGACGGGGGGCGGGGGGGAAATGGCTGCGGACCACGGGGAATGGACGGGAAAATGGCCGCGGACCACGTGGCACGGGCGGAAAATGGCCGCGGACCACGTGGCACGGGCGGAAAAATGGCTGCGGACCACGTGGAACAGGCAGAAAATGGCCGCGGATCCGGTTCGTAAGTCGAGGTGAGTTCGTAAGTAGAGATAAATTTTTGGGGCCGGAGCTGGTTGTATCTCGAAAAGTTCGTAAGTAGAGGTACCACTGTATAAGTCACTCACTGTTGTCAGGTCTTCTCAGAAAAGCCACAACTGGCCCACTAGCCATAGCTGACAAAAAGCCCTTTTAATTATCTAGCAGTGGTCATGAGTCTAGAAGGACCCCAGGTCATGATCTTGGGAGCACTATCCCATCCAGAGTTACTATTTGACCAGACTGAACCAGGTTTTTGGACAAACAGCAACATAGTTTTACTAGTATTCCATTTCAACTTAACCAGATAAAATATTGCCAAACTTTCTTGTGTTCAGGGAAGTGGGAGTACAAAACTTGCATGTATTTTGGGGGGGGTGCACGCACGTGCGCACCTTCGAATCAGTTTTTGACTCCTGGTGACTGCCTGGACTAGTCCCTGCAGTTTTCTTGGCAAGTTTTTTCAGAAGTAGTTTGCCATTGCCTCTTTCTTAGGATTAAGGGGAGTGACTGGCCCAAGTCATCCAGCTAGCTTTGTGCCTGAGGCGAGACTAGAACTCAGGGTCTCCCAGTTTCTAGTCTGGTACCTTAACTACAATAAACTGGCTCTATTTAGTTCTTAGAACATAAAATGGTTAAGACTGTCAGTATAATTCTAAAAGTTTTTAAAGTTCTACCTCCAGGTATGATTATTAGTGAAATTATTCTTGTTACTAATATGCAGGATTTTAACCAAACTTTATATAATTGGAACTATGCCTGTTTAGACAATAGTGTAAATTATAAATAAGGTGTGCCCTTTAGTTTCATTAAAAGTACAGGAGGTTGATTTCAATAATAATCTAATCAGCTAGAGGTACACTCAGTTACTAACACTTATTGGCCATAGCATATAGACTTGTCAGTCCTTCAAGGTAGACCAGACCAGGAAACCAATGCTATGTAGGTCAGTTTATTATAAAGCTATTGCAAGCCTGAATGCATTTCCTTCCTCCCTCCCTCCCTCCATCTTCATGTGAACTAGGGAGGAGCTTTCCTGAGATGTTTACTTACTTTTATCTGTTTCCTTGGTAGCAGCTCTTCCTCCTATTCTTTAAGGCCACTCCCTCTACCTTCTACAATACCTTATTAATTATCATTTTAATAATTGCTATTAATAATTATTGAGTCAAAACTGACTTGATGGCACATAATTAATTAATCACAATCAGTTACTCCCACTTATTGGCCATAGCATATAGACCTAGCCTGTGTCTCTAGTATGTGACATATAATTTATACTTTGATGAGGATTGTGCAGAAGCGTCGATTGCATGAATGAACATTTGGTTGTTGGACATTGTTCCTTGTAGATGAGACTGCTCTTGGGACTACAGAATTCTTGAGTTGAAAACAGCTTTTCATTTGTGCATTTTGATCTGTCAAATATTTGAAAACTGCATACATGTGGTTTGCAATCCCAGCTGCAACTAGAAAAGCAGGAGATATTTTGACTCTGATATCTTTTCCAAATGTGGTCCCTCCAAATATTTTGAGACTGCAGTTCCCACAATACTCAACCCATATAGGTGGGGGAATTCTGGGAGATGCGGTTCTAATACAGATCTGAATAGTATGTTGTGAAGGATGTTCTAGTGCAGTGTTTCTTAAACTATATTCCATAGAACCCTTCTGTGCTCTAAATAACTTGAAGGTCCCACTTGACTGCCAAGTTGTTCTTACATAGCACCCAAAACACAGCACTAAATCATTCTTCGATGTTTTAAGTGCTGTTTTACAAATTTCAGGCTATGTTTCAGTTTATACATCTACATGTAAGATTATTTGCAAAAATGAAATAGGAGCTCCAGATGTATAAGGCACATGCACAGTGAGATGCTGGCAAAAAGAATATGTCAAATTAAATCAAATATTAAGAACAACCATCACAATGTTAACTTCATAAAATCCAGTGCTCTTAATTCACAGTTGTTTGTCAGTTTGTGTGATCAAGCAGGATTCACACAGATTTTTCTCCTACCTATTTTTGCTGGCTATCAAGAGACAGGATATTGTGTGGCCTTATAGGGAAAAATATTTTTTTATCAAGCACTCCCTGACCTAAGACCAAGTATTTAAAAGGTTAAATATTATGCCAGTTTCAAGACTAACAAATCACATCCGGATAGGTAATCCAGAATTTCATCCAGAACTTTTACATCCCATTAAGATTTATAACCAAAATATTGAATATAAGGGGAGAAAAATCATGTTTTAAATATTTCTTTTATTTTTCATTTTTTAAAAGAAAGAATCATAGTCATTCCTCATATATTGTTTGGGAATTTCATGGTCTTGAAAAGTTTAAGAATACTGCTGTAGGAAGCTGCCTTTCATGGACAGCATTCATGCTTGGCATGCTGCAAATATTTCTCAGTTTTTGTTAATATTAATTTGTTTTCTAAGTGGCATTAGTCCTTCAGAACTGTGCAAAAAATATTAGTTTACTTTTTTAGATCACATTCATAATTTGGGCTGTGATTCGTATTGGACCCAATGGCTGTGATAGCATGGAATTTCATGATAGTGGATTACTGCGATTTAAACAAGATTCTGATATGGGAATTATACATCCATTGTATAAGAGCACAGTGGGAGGTCGGCGAAATGAAGATTTGATGATCGTTGGAGAAAATCAGCCAGTAAGTATATATCTCCTTGCATGTTACATTGAGGTCTGAGGTCTGGCTCAATATTATCTTGCTGAATGCTGGAATCTAACCAAGAGGTGAATCTTAATAATGGTACTTGTTGGATACCCTCCTGAGAGACCCTTGTGCTGACACTATATACTTCTGGGGGTCAAAAATCTGGGGTTTTGTTATGGGTCACTTGTTTGCTTTGCTGGTTAGTGAAATTGTTTTGATTGTGGACTTTTAATTCTATGATGCTGGATATTGCAATTTTCTCAATTACAGTTTTTCTGTTTTTATTGTTTTGTTTACTGCAATTTGTTGGAAGCTGTCTTGCATTTATACATTTTGAAAATAAATTGATAAGCTGCTTGTTGAGATGATAAAGCACTACCAATTAATAATTTAAACATAATAAATTGTTATTAAATTCAGGGCCCTTTTTCTGTTTCTAAAGATTATATTTCAGCAGGGGGAAACAAAACTTAGTGTGGAGAAAAATAAAACTTCAATTACCAGTGATATTGGAATGGAATTTGTTGACCCACGGACTCAAAACACTTTGTTTAGCACTGACTATAATACCCATGAGTTTCATTTGCCAAGTGGAGTAAAAATTTTGAATGTCCAAAAAGCATCTACAGAAAGGGTATGGATTACCTTTTGTTTATTTCTAACTGTAAATTGTATAATATGTGAGGTTTTTTAAAAATAATAACACATAAAATTCATAATTTTATTTATATTTTGATTGAAAGTCATATAAATTTGCAAAAGGAGGGGCTCATGTTCTGCACACAGAGTAAGCAAGCTAACAATAACTCTGCCAGGATGTACCTAGTTAACCATAAAGATAGTTAACACAGAGAGCTTGGAATGATGGTAGAATTTTATTCAGTGGTACATTTAAACCACAGGTTATATCTCTGAATCTTAGCAACAGGTTACTACGACTATAAACCATTCTACAACTACTTTTACTTGCTATTTATTTTATTAATTGTTATTTATTTGTCAAATGTAGATGGCTGCCCAAATTCATAAAGACTCTGGGCGGTCTGCAACCATTAAAAACAGTAAGAAAAAATAGAGCAACAAAAATGATGCACTTCCGAAAGACGAAACATTTAAAGTAACCCAAAGAAAACCCATTGTAACAGACTCGCCATCCACCCTAACCCAAGTCTTGGAAAAAGCCAGGTTTTCATAGACTTTTAAACACAGTCAGGGTAGGTGCCATTCAGATCTCAGGCTGTGTGTTGCTTTTCCAAACGGCAGCTACTGTGACGGTACTGAGATAAAACCCAATTACAACCATATCACTTAAATAGAAATTATATAGAATTCGGTGAGTGCTGCTCTGTAGTGTTTAGATAAAGCTACTAAGTCTGGGTAACAAGAATCCAAACAACCAAGAAAGACAACAGAGAGATACAGAAAACTAGAACTTTAAAATTGTGATGGAAAGCATGAATGGGGAGGATTCTGGAATGGAGCTTCAAGGTTGCCAGGAGGGGGAAGAGAGGTTCCAGGGGAAGCACCTCCTCAGCTCCCAGCCAGAGTGTGGGAAAGTCAAGAGGATGAGACTGGGCCCTCCGTAGGGCATCATGGTTATAGCTGCTGTTGTTGTTGGGGATTAGAATTAGTCTGGAGAGATTCTGTCTATTAGGTGCATGCTAATAAAGGAGCTAACTGTTCTGGACTGTCTCATTGTTGTTCTTGGTTTGAATCTGACAAAAATCCAGATATGAAAGCATTTTTAAGTCCAGATCTGGTAACTCTAAACAATATTTATGTGTTATAATCAAACTGCAAATGGTGAGTGAACAAGGCACCTTTTGATTAAGATGTTTTGATTTTTATAAATTGATATTAGTTTAGTAAATGCATTGTACAGCTATGCTCTTTCTTCTTAGATTACAAGCAATGCCACTAGTGATCTGAATATAAAGGTTGATGGACATGCTATTGTCCGTGGAAATGAAGGAGTCTTTATTATGGGCAAAACTATTAAGTTTTACATGGGACGCAACTTGGAACTGAAAGCAGTAAGTAATTCCAGGATTTTTGGTTATTTTATAATGTAGTCACTTGATTAAAGCAATGTCAGTCAGTCAGATAATAGCTCGGTTTAGTCATTTATGAAATTAAGCTTGTGTGTGTGTGTGTGTGTGTGTGAAAACGCTATTTCTTTTTGTGTTTCAGTTACCCTTAAAAACTCTTCTGTGTATAAATACATTCTAGTTCATATGCTGTTGAATTCCTGAATAAGTTATATGCACGCATAGACTTGTAACTATTTTGAAGCAAATACAGGATATTCGTATGTTAAAACTAAAACAAATAGCTTCTTTGCATAAGAATAAGAAGAATAAGAATAAGACAGTGTCCTGTTTTGAGTGTGCAAATGGAAGCAACTATCCAATTCCATTAAGAGAAAACTTTTTTGATCAAAACATTTTTGTTACCTCAAAAATACAGCCAACCAGTTGTAGTTCCTCCATTAATTATTGCCCTCCTGCTAAGGAACTTAAAGTTGGAAACAAGTTCAGTTCGGTAGTAGCAATAATGAGTGAGTTCAGCCCTGCCTCAAGAGAAATATGTCATGGGCTTAAGCATAGAGCATTTTCCAATATGTCATCCTTTGATGTATCATAACTACAACTTTCAGAATTCCCAGCTAGCAAATGGTGCATTGACCCCATTTTTCCAAAGTACGTGGGAGCTTAGTACTAGCAATGTTCAAAATATCTTGAACTGAATGTTTCTGAATTCCTGAAATACCCTGAAACACCCTGTTTTGAGTGGCAAACAAGGTATTCCTAACATTTTGAAAATGTTTTGAGCTTTTCAAAAAACCTCCACAAATGCTGAAAGTTATCAGTTGCACATTCCTGTTTCACATTCAAAACAGGGTACTAACACACAAAATGAGATGTTTCACATCTGAAATGGTTTCATTCAAAACTTGTGCTCACTCCTGCTTAAAGCAATGATCAGAATATATTTTTAAAGCTGAACAAAAACTAAAAAATACACCCCATAATGTCTCTGTTTGCAGTAGAAAAACTTCATGTTCTATGGCCAAATAGTATATTTTCCCCTCAGCTCTGCATTTTTAGTATGAAGAGAAATTCATCCAGGCATGTTACCATAACCTTACATTACCCATGTACAGAGACTATGAAAAATAATAGACAAGTTTTACATTTCTGTGCTTTAACATAGACAATATTGTTAAAGTTCAGTGAAGATTATTTTAAAGCATAAAGCACAGTTCCACTGCAGTCAAACAAGGAATCTCTATTGTATATAGCTGTAAGTGAGCTCAATACATGGAGTACAATGCAAATAACTATAAGATGGCAGGGAGAGAAGGAAGGTGTGTAAAATAATGTATCATGATTTTGAAGGGCATTGTTTTGATACACAATTTTACACTCTCTCATAATGTGTGGGCATGCATGTGATAGTGCA